CAGAGCTAGTAATTGAGTCCAGGTCTCTCCTGAGTCCTAGCCCAGTGCCTTACCCCCTGAACCACACTGTCTCCTAGAATGCAATGAGCACAACTAAAGCTATTGCTCAGGACATGGCCCCAGGGTTTAGCAGCAACCCAAAGCAAGGATGCAGGTAAAGACTAGGGGTCGGTCTACACTGGGAATGTACATCAGCGATTCACACCCCTGAGAGATGTAGCGATGCCAACCACAGTGCAGACAGCGCTGGATCAATGGACAAATTCCTCCATTGACCTCGCTACTGCCTCTCAGGGAGGTGGATTTACTACAGCGATGGGAGACCAACTCCCAGCGACGCAGGTTGTGTCTACACTGATGCATTACAGTGGCGCAGCTGCCCTGCTGTAGCAGTTTAAGTGTAGACATACCCTATGGTTCATTGGTGAAGCCGGGCGGGGCCTCAGGAATGGAACTCAGGGTGCTGCAGGACAGGAATGAGAGGCATTGGTAGAGCTGGGTGAGAGACCTTCGCACAACCCCTGCGTCAGTCTGTAGCAGCCTCCACCCTTTGAGAGCATTACGATTTGCCAGCTTTGCACTCAAGACACCTAGGCAGCAGCAGGACAGTGGCGCGGTGCGGGCCCAGCCCCTTGCTCTCTGGCGTGCAGGGCTGTCCCTGCCACAAGGAGCAGCCCCATAGAACCAGTGTAGTGGCTGAGCTGCAGCACAGAGGAGGTATTGATAGGGGACAATGATTCTCTCTTTTGCTTAAGAGACCTCAGAGATGTCCCAGCGGAGGACAGGCACGAACTAGCTGGGAACGGACAGCAATTGCTACCCACTTAGCAGGGTCAGGGCTTTTGATGCTGCTGTTGATGCCATCGCTAACAGGATTAACCAGACAGGGAGCAGTTCATTTCCAGGCTATCTAGGGGCCGTGAAGCCAGACACACAGGCCTCTGTTCAGACGGAGGATGCAGCTCCATGGGCTTCAATGGAGTGCCAGCGTTATCCCTTTGTCCGTAGAACCCAGACAGCAAAGGCGAACCTTTGGGGGCATACTGGGGCAAGATCTCTGTGTAAAATAATTGATGACACTTACCTGGCCCTGGATTTGTATTATCCCCAGTCATGCACCCGAGTCCCATTGTGCTAGGCGCTGTACAGACAGAGCTGAGCACTTCACCATCTTTGCTGTATTTATCCTCACAACATACCTGTGACGTGTCCCTTTTACAGATGGGAAACAGGGTGACTTGCCCAAACTAACGCAGAAAGTCTGTAGCACAGCAGATAAGGGAACCCTGGTCTCTTGAGCTCCAAGCAAGTCCCGGGGCCAGCCTTGCTCTCTAGTTCTCTGCTAGGATACATGGACAACCCCTCAACCTTCATGGCTTGTTGCAGATGTGTTGTGTGAGGTAAGAATAACCTAGTGGTTACAGCACAGAGCTGGGAGGCAGGGGAGATGGAGTTTATTCCCAGCTCTGACACTGACTCATTGTGGGACCTTTGTCAAGTCACCTATGTGCCTCAGTGTCCCCATTTAAAATGGGGGCAATATTTCACCTCACAGAGGGACTGGGTTCTATCCTTTAATACATAATAGGCTGAGCTCCTAGGGCTCTGTGCTACTTCAAAGGCATGGGATCAGTTCATTCGAAGTGTTTGCAATTAAGGCCTGAGGGACAGGCTGACTTTGGGGGGAGGGGGTTTGTTAAGAGCCTTTTTATTTCTAGGCCATCTGTCCATGCTTAGAGCAGTTTCATAGCAGTGGCCAAACTGGTCTCCTGTTGGCTCTGCCCTGACCTGGCTGAAGGGACTGTATCTCCCTAATGGACCCCATCACCACAGGCACCAACTGTGAGTCCAGCAGAGGCCACGGACCAAGAGGGCCGGAAGCTGCCCTGTCCTTTCGTTCCTAGGGCGGAAGCAGCCGGATGGGGCTGGACAGCAGAAGTTTGCACTGGCACTGCCCAGGCAGTAGCTGTTCTGTGGGTCTGGCTTGTACATTTCATCCAGCTGGGCCAGTCCTCCCTCTAAGCAATAAGGAATGAATGGCCTGGTTCAGCAGTGAGTCAGGGGGCCAGTAACTCCCCTGGCCCTGATTACATCGGAACAAATTCCATGTGCGCTTGCCAAGCGGGCCCAGCTCAGTGAGTCACAGCAGGAGTCCCCGGTTCCCAGAGGGGCAGAGTGGGATCTTTCCTCCTCTCTGCAGCCGCTCTGGGAGCAAGTGGCAGTGCATGAGAAGTGTACTGAGAGTAGCTGGTGCATTCCTGCCTTCACCGCTGTTGGGGTCAAAGGAAGAAAATTCTCAGGAGCGGGTGGTGGAGTCCACTTCTCCCACCCCTGGGATGTGAGTCCGAGTCCACTGCTGAGTCCAATGCACTGTAAGGTGCATCGCTGTACTGCAGCTGTGACTGGGCATAGGGCTGAGTGTGGGGCAGCTGCAGAGACCGTATGGGGCACAGGGGCTCCTCATTAATAGCCTGGGCCAAGTGGGGAGGTGACTGAGGTGCTGGTGTAAATGACACTTCAGTTAAGGGGAGCATGTTGCACACCAAGCGGGTGGGTGTGAGGACAAGCACTTAACAGGAGGGGGGGGTCACTTCCATGCCTGCTCTTTGCTATTCATGCTTCCCTTCCCCTCCCTCGCCGTGCCCAGAAATTCCAGCCACACCAGAGCCCAGCCACTGGGCTGGAAGTTTCCCCTTCACCCTCTGCTGCAGTCAGACCCTGAGCCACAGCTGCGGGCTCTCAACAAGACCAAGGGCTTGTCTACACTTGAAATGCCACAGCTGTAGCCACTACCTACGGGGACCGGACGGGTTCTCCCATTGGCACAGGCAATCCAGCTCCCCGAGAGGCAGGCGTTAGGTCAGTGGAAGAATTCTTATATCGACCTAGCGCTGCCTACACCAGGCAAGGGCACCAGAGCCTTCCCAACAGTGTGTGTGTGTGGGGGGGAGCTGCATCCAAACTCCCTCCCAGACCCTGCCCCCCCCCTCCATTTATATAGTAGACATGTACAGCCCATGACGACTTACCACAATTCGTGGAGTGGCCCCCCTGCAAAAATTATCACCCGCCCCTGGTGTAACCCCAGTGTCACCCCATCAGCCAGGCTGGCACAAGCAATGCAACCCCTCCCCCCTGGTTGCACCTCAGCAGTCCCAGGCCAGCCCATACACCCCTTAGTTCCTGCAGCACTAGAGGCAACAAAGCCTATTACCAGTTCTGGTTCCACCCCCGCCCTCCTTCCCCCCCGCAGCGACAGAGGCCCCATTTCCAACCTCAGCCTGGGTCAGGCAGCTTTGAGGGTACAGAACATGAGCCCAGCCCAAAGCCCCAGCCTGCCTAGCAGATAGCACCAGCTCCCTGGTGCAGGGCTCCCTCTTCTGGCAGCTGGAGGCATTTGCAGGAAGGGTTCCTGTCCCCCCAAAGCTGTAGCTGCACCTGCTAGATGGGGCTAGCTCCCCAAGGCGCCTGCATCCCCTGCTGTCACCGCGCTTCGGTTCAGAGAACACAGGCCCCTGGCGTTATTTTTGCTTTTTATTTGAAAAAAGCCTGTGGACTATCACAGTGTCGTTAGACAATATAAAACCTCACCAAGGAGCTCAGCTACTGCTACATACGTGGCTGGCAGCTGCCTAGAGGCCAAGCTGTAAACATTCACGAGGGGGATTTCATAATGCCTGTAGCAGCAGGGGGAGGTAGGGCAGGCTAGGGGACCAGAGCAGGGCAGCCCTCTTTAACCCCCTCCTAGGAACAGAAACAAGCGCCCGTAGGCAGCAGGGGCGGAAGCACACATCTCATGGGAGGGGCTGGAGGGAAACAGCCCCAGTCCAAAGTAACCTGTTATGTGATCAGACACACACCAGGCTCCATGTGCTAAAGCACAGAACTGGAAGGTGATCTCAGAGCCTGAAGCCCCCTGGCTTTAAGTTCCTCCTAGGACAGCTCCAGGAACAGCAAGTTCAGTTCAGCTCAGCTCCCCGGAGCAGAGGGCGCAAAGCCTAGAGAATGGTCAGGAGAGCAAAATCAGGCCCAGCGATCTCACTCTTGCTAGATCAACAGATCCGACTCTCCACAACTGGGCCTCCTGCCAGTGCAGCTCTTCCCAGGAACCGAGTGGGGACTGGCCTTAGAGGGGGCAGAGCAATTTTCTTGGTGCCTGGCAAGAGACCCCCCCGTTCCGATAGTTGCAGGGCGGGCGATATCATTACAGCAACACCCTGTCTGCCAATCAGCACTGGGGCCCCATTGCGCTGAAGGTCACCTCCTTTCCCACCACTGTTCACAGTCTATTTAGGAGTTGGGTTTACAGCCTTTGGGCAGCCAGGTAGATCAGAGGAAGGTTTGTCAAACTGCTGTCTCAGTGCAGCGCTTTGGGGGAATGGGGCAGAGATTTAGGGTGGGTGAAGGGAGCAGGCAGCTTCGTTAATGCCTGAGCCAGAGAGAACCACGTTCTGGCACCGCTCTGTGGCTGCTGAGGAGTCACGGGAGACCAAGGGAGCAGCTACAAGAGGTGTTTCTGGCAGCCACTTTTCTGCCCAGTTTGAGGGTGGCGGTGTGGAGGATGAATGACGGGTGAAGAACGAAGCCCCCTTCCCCTGCTTAGCATGGAGACTGGACACAATCCACACTGACAGCCTAGGACAAATACTGCAGCATGGGACTTTGTTTTCCTTCCCTGTCCCCTCCCCATCCAAGCTATAAAGAGCCAGGCGGGCTGGGGCTGGAAGCCAGGCTGGTGGGCCCAGGCTAGGCCGGAGATCTCATACGCTGCAAACGGGCCCAGGCTCAAGGTCGGTGCTTGGATGGAGGCTAGGCTCTGGCCAGGGGGGGGCAGCTGGGAACATGAAAGCGCATTAAGGGGAGAGGGAAACAGCAGCTAAACTACATGGGGGTCAGCAATGTCCTTCAGTGTCACAATATGATCCTAGGGCCCTGTCTGGTCAAGGCACCATGCTGGACAGTTCTGCGCTGATGAGGAGTGTGAAGAGAAACGTGGGGGGGGGTTGGGGGGGGAAGAGAGACAGGTGCTGCTCAGGGTGTCTCATGCTTCCAGAAAACCCATCCACCTCTGTAAACAGGTCATGCCCTGGGAAGGTGATTGCAGTGTTCAGCCCAGCAAAGCAGCAATTTCTTCACCGCTCAGAAGGCAGGCAGGCAGAAGTGGGGAGGGAAGGGAACAGTCCATCTGCATCCTGCCCTCCAGCTGAGTTTGTGCGGTAGGGATTCTTAGTCCCGAAACCTCTTGGGGTCAGGGGGAAGGAGTGGGCCGGCTCCAGGAGCCTGCAAGCTGCTCCCTTGTGCATTTCAAACAAGCCAAAACTTGTTACCCCTGGTGGGGTCAGAAGAAAAATCTTTTCTATGGTGTAACTGATGCAGGGATGTGTGCCTGAGCCTAGAGGCAGCCTGGAACAGTAGCTCAGAGCTGGGAACTGTCCCATTCATCTGACTGGGGTGTTAACCCCAAAACTTAATTATGTCAGTTGAAGTGTAAACATTGACTACTTCATCGCTCCTCCAAACACGAGAGAGGGGCTATCGTGCTATGAGGATCTGCACCAGCTCCTGCAAATAGGGTCTTGGTGTCATGAGTGGTTGAAGCTTGGGACAGTACCATCACAGACATCCAAGCTAGCCCGGTGCTGGAGTGAGGGGTTAGGCACGTGAGGGCCTAGCCTCTGAGGGGTCACTGTACCCCTTAGATGCCAACAGGAGTGTTAAACAGCAATACACAGTCCTCTTCGGAAAGCAGCCGGCATTCAGCCGTGTCACGCAAGGGGCTGAATACCATACAGCTGCAGCAACAGCACTTGGAGGGAGGAGAAAACCTTGGGAGTACGGTGCTCCCCCCGCCCCGAGTGAAATGAATCGGGAAGACTCGTGTGGTGCCCCGCTCGGTTTCCAAGGCAGAAGGGCAGCAGCGTACCTGAGAGGGAGACGCCGTCCAGTCACAACATAGAGCACAGGTGTGGGGAGATGCCAGAGCTCTGCCAGGGAGGCCTGGGACAGGCTCTGGTATCAGACAGGGATCAGTTCAGGGGCTTTGCTAGCACCTCTGGACCTATCACAAATGAGGCGCAGCATCTCCAAGGAGCAAGGGAACCAACGCGACCTGGGCAGGCGTCACAGCCCCATAGAAACCCACAATAAGCCTAGGCCCCATGGAGGCTCAGACCTGGTGTCTAGGCTGGGGCTGCTTTTGCAGTGGTGTCCCTGCCCAGCCCCTCCCCAGAGCCCCGGCCTGGGGGGGGGGAGGTCAGCTAGGGGGGCTAGATGAAGGTGGAGTCCAGCTGGCTTGTTTCATGGTTATTTCGGGCCCGTGCCTCAAATAGCTGCTTGATCAGGGCGGATTTCTCCTGCTCCAGCTGGGTGATCCGCTCGCTCTTCTCAGTCACCTCCTGCACAGGAAGGAGGCAGAGCCCTGGTGAGTGGGGAACATTCCCCGTGGGCAGCAAGCCCTTCCCAGGGTCCTGCCCCTCCCCGGACACCCGGCTGGATCTCCTCAACTCCAGGGAGTTTCATTTGGCCAGAGCAAACCAGGTGGTTTAGAACGACAGGCTCAAAGCTCTCACGGCAGAGTATGAGCTCCCCCCACTGTCCCTGCAGCCCCTGGTCACCAGTCCCCGCTTAGCCTGTCTACAAGGCAGGTCACACGATGGGTACACCTGCCCCCTCCCTCCCGGCCCAGAGCTGTCAGCTGGCACCCGGCGTCCCCCCTCCACCAGCCTCAGTGAGACGGATTCCAGTGGCCTCCAGCTGAAGTGCTCAATTCCCCGAGCCCTCCAGGCCCCTTGTGCCGTGTGGTGAGAGGGCAGAACCAGAAGACGACACCGCTCAGCAGCCTCATTTAATGGGGGGGCTCCGAGTATCTTTGCTGTGCAGGGTTCCCCTCTCATCTACGCGCTTCTCTTAGGCCTGGGTCCCACTCCCACAGCCATCCTCCCCCCCCCCCCCCCTAACCTCCTCCCAGAAGATCCCGTCCCTCTGGCTCCGCCTGCCCCAGGGGCTGGCTCCCAGCTCCCCTGCCCTTCCTTTGGCCCCAGTTCCAAGCTCCTGACCCTCTCCCGGTGGGGGGAGCCCCCCACCCCCTCACCTTGGTGAGAAGCCGGTTTTGCTCCTTCAGCATACTGATGGCTTGCTGGGACCCTGCCAGGGCAGGCGGCGGCACGGGGGCAGCAGGGACCGGTCTGGTCAGCGCCGACGAGGAGGAGTTCAGAGGCTGGGAAGGAGAGGGAATTAATCTTTCTACAGTCTGTCCCCACTAGCTTTCTGCTTCCCCAGCCTCGGGCCAGGGCTGGGCTCTCCATGTAGATCACCCGTCACAGCCCTCCTCACGCCTGCCTCCTGGCGGCTGATGCCTCGCTGACCTGTCTCCACTAGGTGCATGTCGGCCTGGCATGTCAATACACAGCTCAGCCTGCAGAGGGCACTGCGAGCTCATTGCTTAACCCACAGCGAGTTGCGGGGGTGGGGGGAGCAGGTGCCAATGGACTCAGTTCACCAGCTGAGGCAGCCAGGGAGCTCATCCCTCAGCACCAATCCTCTGCACCAGGGTTTCGTCGACCTGTGCAGACCTCCCCCTCCTCGCCCCCACCCCAGAACCTGAGAGCAGTGGAAAGAGCCACGTTCGGCAGCAAAGAGGGAGGAGAGGAAAAGAAACTGGCCATGACATGACAGGTGCAGTGGCTGGGTTACATCCTCGCCCCTTCTCCCAGGGGCGCAGGGCTTCCCATTCCGGAGGCGTCTGCAGCCCCACCCCACAGCACTGATCTCACTGGGTCCCTTTGCAACCTGGGTCTGTCCTTCCCCAGCATGGAGACTGTTTTAAAGTCTCTAGAGCCCTGCCAGGGGCTAGAACGGGCCAGAGAGTCACTGCTCATTCCCTGGGACCAGAGGAATTACCCGACTGTAACAGGCCAGGGGTCCATCTAGCCCAGTGGCCTGTCTCCGACAGCAGCCAGACCCAGCGGGAGGGGCTGGAGCTCGGAAGGAGGCAGGGTTATAGTTCTGCATGTTCGAATTATCCACGTACCGGCTAACCCCTTTCTGAATCCTGCTGAAGTGCTTCACCCTGTGACCACCTACAAGCGTCCCATAGACCAGGTGGGCTCTAAACCCTTGCTAGGTTAGAGCCAAGAGTCTCCAGGCACCTGCTCCTGTCCCTCAACTGAGGGACCAGGCATTCCTACAGGGCCATAATAATTCCGTTTCTGGTCTGGTGTCCCCCTACACTGCTCCCATTGATCTAATGGAGAGCGATACAAACCGCCAGCCCTGGAAGCAGGGGCACCGGTGCTACCAGGACAGCACGCTCACCTTCCCCGAGGTGGACAGGAGCTCTCCGAGGCAGCGGTTCACTTCCTGCAGCTTGGGTAGAAGGCGACCCAGGTGGCTTTGGCTTCCCTCCGGGAAGAAGTCCTGGAAGAAGCAAGGGTGGGAAGGTGGAGTGAGGAGCCAGTTCTCCAGGACTTCATGCTGCTGTGATGTGCAAGCAGAGACAACCCAAGAGCTCGCTGGCCTTCATCGCAACTTCACGGGACTCATCTTTCAGGACCCAGCCTGGCTGGCAAACTGGGCGGGTGGAAGGGAATATTCCAGCCAATGCTGACTTTAGCCTGGGGTGGGACGTGCATTTCTCCAGAGAGCCCAGGAGGGTGCACGCCAAGGAGGCTGCTGGGCTCATCTCTATTTACAAAACCATCCTGGCCCGGCCACATCTCGGCTCCTGCTCTGGAACGCTGCCCCGGGCAACGACCAATGCCACATGCATCAGAGGCGGGTGATGGGATAAGCACATGACCCAGCCAGCTGGGCAAGGAGGCATAAGTATGTGTGTGCACACAGGGAGTGAGAAACCCTTCCTGGACACCACAGAGTTGATCCCCTTCATTATCTCCCATCTGCAGACCTACCGGGGTGATTAACGATCATTAAGGCCCAGATCCTCAGAGGGATTTAGGCTCCTAACTCCCACAGAAATGAATGAAGTTACGTGCCTAAATCCCTTGGCAGATCTGGGCCTAAGAGCTTTGGACCCTTCTCCAAAAGGAAACAATCCACTGAGCATTCGGCTGCCTTTTTGGGTACAGTTCTGCCTGGGTGGAGGCAGGAGTGACGCCCCTGGGGCCAGAAGAGTGACTCCTGCTGGCACAAGGGGCGAGTTGAGCCTGCGATTAAGTCCCACAGGTTAGTGCCATGCTGGGCAAAGCAGGTTCCCTAGAACGGGCCGGGCAGCTTCTCAGCTCATTTGTGGGACAAGGTAAGAAAAAGGGGGAAGAGAAGTGACCTGCCATATGTCTCTTCCCCTTCACAGGCTAAGTGATCCCGGCTGCCCTGCCCCCTCCACATGTGTAAGTCCCACACATACCCACTCCCCCCATCCCCTTCACAGCCCACCTCCACTGACTGCAGTGGGAGCAAAGTGTCAGTGCCGAGTGCTTCTGCAGATCTCACCCCATGTCTCCATTAGATCGTTAAGGGGAAGTGATATTAGAACTTGGTCTTTCCCGTCTCCGGTTTTAACCAGTCCTTTATCCAGCCTCCCCCTCCCCCCAGGCAGGGCACTCAAAGGTGAGACGGTCCCTGGAGCGAGCCCCACACTCACGTTTGTGGTTTTGTTTTTCCCCAGGTGTTTCTGGCGCTCCTGCACTGTCTGGATCTGCTGGTGGTACCATTCCCGGGCACGCTCCACCATCTCCAGCCCCTGGAGCAGGAAGTCCTTCTCCTGCTCCAGCTCCTTCATTTGCTTCAGCTGCAAGACACAAAACCCAGGTACTTTAATACCCCCTCCAGCCAAACCTATGGGACATCAATCACACCTCCTGCCCTCCTGAGAATGGGTCCTGAACCCAGGGCTGGGAGTCCCCAGAAAGCTGCCGCATCCTGGCCTCTACCCAACAGCTACTGAAACCACCTGGACTGAGACGCTACTAGGGCTATAGCCCCAGCCAGGGCATCACGCACAGGAGCTCTGATTGGAGGATCACCTGGCTCCACCAATTGGTCCAACTATGCTATTTAAGCCAAGAGGAGGAACAGGAAGTTTGTCTGAGCAACAAGGTGGATTCCTGTTGTGGCTGCATTGGACCTTGCTTGTGCCTGACTGCTGCACCCAACCCTGCTCCTGCCTTACTGTTGTCTTCATTCCTGTTCCCACCGTGCTTGATCCTTGCCTCTCCTCCTGCCTTATGCCTCACCTCCAGGCCTGGCTCTGACCCCGGCCTCTGCCTTCCGACCTTGACTCCGGCATTTGGCATCTGACCTCAGCTTCCATTCCTAGTTCGGACTCTGGCTTGGCCCCTGAGCCTTGGCTTCATTCCCCAACCTGTACACCTGCTCTGCCTTTAGACCTGACCACCTACATCCTGGTCCATAACACCACCATCCATCCCTGGAGCGAACCAAGGCCAAGCGTTCAGAGAAACAGTCCTGCCAGTCTCGGTTCTGGAGCCAGCCAGGAGTGACCTAATCCAAAGCCCAAGTCACTTTGCTTTGGGTCCAGTTCACGACCACATCAAGCACAGAGGAGACGCTCAGCCTCTAGCCATGGCACATGCAGGAATTCAGTTACCAGCTGCAGACCCCGGCAAGGACGAGACGGGTGAAAGATGGCTCATCCCCTTATGGCAGCTTTAGAGAAGCAGGAGCAATGCGTTCGGTTTCCTTTAGGGAGAGAGCTGCCAGATTTGGGCATCCTGACATCAGCTGATGAGCGAAGGGTTGGAAAGCTTGTCTCTGCCCCCTCCCCCCTTCGCATGGGCCCTGGCATCCAGTCAACCTGCACATTCGGCTATAACCAGCCTTCAAGAGGATGTGGACCTAGAACAGACATGGAGAACCGTAGCCTAACTGGAGCATGGGGCTTCTTTACGGTGGAATATGAAGCTTGGCTACAATCAGACGCTCTGGGGTGGGGATCGCTCATGGGAGCCTCCTTTCTCAGCAAGTCGAGGTGTCCCTTTACCGCTGCATCATACTGGCATCCAAGAGACTAGCTAGATCAGAATTGCATGGACATGTTTGTCTGGTCAGACCCACAAAAAGTCCCTTACCCAGCTTATAGAATTGTAGGACGGGAAGGGATCTCGAGAGGTCATCTAGTCCAGTCCCCTGCACTCATGGCAGGACTAAGTATTATCTTTCAGTATTATGTTTCAATAGCCTAATGGGAGGTGGAGACCATGACACACCAATCCGATCCATCATGCAGCTGCTGCAAAGCCAGAGGAAGACAGACAACCAGAGAGCAGATCCATACTCAGATCGCTACTACTCAGAAGGTTCTTGCTCCATGGAAAGCAGGTTTCTCGGCTAGGTTGAACCAAGTGCAGGTCATGGGAGAGTCTCCCCTCCCAACACCCTTCCTTCCTTCTTCCCCCAGGCTGCAGCTCCCACCCTGCCCCACGTTAGATCAGTCCTGTTGCTCTATTATAAATAGTGGCTTAATGGGTTAGGTCAATAGGAAACCTCTGCATTGAGATTTCATCTCAATTGCCCACGCAGCCATGGCAGGAGATTTCCTCCTCCGAGCTGCAATTAAGCATTTCCCTTATCACTCTACAGGAACCTGCAGTTTAGTCTCCAGTGCATGATGCTGGATCTCAGATACTCCAGTGCTCTACACTGCAGTGTTCAGAGATGTTTAAGGGAGTTAGGGGCCAAATTCCACAGGCTTCTTTGAAAATCCCTGGTCATTTAACCCAACATCTTCTAGCTTTGGGGCCTAAAGCAGCCTCCTTACAGAAGTTTAAGGCTGCGAGCTCACACTGTGTGGAACGTTTATTATTGGCAAAGAACGGCAGAGTGAAACACACATACTAGAAACCTAGGAAATGCAGGGTTAAGTTCTCCTCTGTCCAATCAGGCACTGACTCACACACTGATAACTGCCATAACCATCACCCTGCCCCAACCAACCAATATCCTCAGAACAGAGCTGAAAGCATCGCACATTGTTCTACTTGATGTTTGGGCTGAACGAGGGCTAGTAATTATCTGGTATCAGGAGGCGGGTGGTGCAATGTGCCATTGGCTCAGCACATGGACTAACTATATGACTCCATCGTGAGCATCCAACCTTTGAGAGGGTAATGAGCAGAAGAACGGCAGCACCAGCCATTGCTTTCCCAGGGTAGGACTCAGCCACATGGTGCTCTGGGGATCCCTCTGGTCACGTATGTAGTGACAAATCCCGGCAGTAAAACAGCTGGGGCGAGTTTCCAATGGGACGTTACTAGAGAGTGGGGCCAGGAGAGTTAAAGCAGCCGGCTCTGCGCACGGGCTGGCCTTAGGTCACCAGCTCTTAGTTGTGATGAAAAGGGTTGGGGGAAGGGGGGGGATCCCTAGAGTCACTTGAAGGGATGCTCAGGGCTCCACTTTCAGTCCCCCAGACTGGGCTCAACCCCAAGCCCTGACCCAAGCAAAGAACGGCAGAGTTAAACACACGTACTAGAAACCTAGGAAATGCCCCAAGCCCTGAACCAAGCAAACTGGGACCAGAATGTGAGAAAGAATCAGGGACCCAGCGAGAGCCAATGGCCCAGCAACCAAGCGGGTGCAGTTCCCATGGACAGCAAGCGTTTCTGCCCCCAGGTTTGTTTGCATAGCAGACACACGACATCATGGGGGTGTGGTTCTCCTCTCTCTCCAGCCAGCACAGATGCCAGCAGGGCGGTAGCTGCCACCAGGCAGAGAAGATGGCTCTCCAGACAAAGTTGGGGTATTTCCCCACCCCAAGGCTGCTGCACTAAGATTAGGAGGGGAACTGCCCCCCCCCCATAATCCTAGAGGTGACTCACATGAATTTTACCCCTTCTTTAAAAGAGGGACAGACTGGAAGGTTTTCAGCCACCCCAGTGCTACATTCCCGAGGGGCTGCAGCCCAGCCCACAGGCAGCCAGCCGCGGGGACCAGAGCGACAACACCCCACTCTGACCCGAGTCACTGCTGCCCGCTGGAGGAGCCCCAGCACAAAGGCTGCCCTCGAACCCACTCGTCATGGCAGCTGTGTATGGAGCATTTGTTTCCCAACAGCTGGAGGAGATGGATGCTCCCCTGAGCCCAGAGAAAGGGGCCTGGATACAAAGCCTGCCCCCTCGGGCATGGGCTTAGTTTGGGGGGGCGGGGGAGGGGCAGGAGGGGTGTTGCCTCCCAAACTGCAAGTCTCAGATAGGCGTGGAATTGCCCCCCCGAATGCAGAGTCCCATTGGCCTGGCTTGAGCTGCCCCACCACATCCAGAAGTCAAACTATGCCATCAGGACACCAGTAGACCTTAACAAGAAGGCGAACGGCATATTGGGCTGCATTAGTAGGAGGAGCATTGCCAGCAGATCGAGGGAAGTGATTACTCCCCTCTATTCAGCACTGGTGAGGCCACACCTGGAGTACTGCGTCCAGTTTCGGGCCCCCCCCCTACATAAAGGATGTGGACAAATTGGAAAGAGTCCAGCGGAGGGCAATGAAAATGATCAGGGGGCTGGGGCACATGACTTACGAGGAGAGGCTGAGGGAACTGGGCTTGTTTAGTCTCCAGAAGAGAAGAATGAGGGGGGATTTGATAGCTGCTTTCAACTACCTGAAGGGGGGGTTCCAAAGAGGATGGAGCTCGGCTGTTCTCAGTGGTGGCAGATGACAGAACAAGGAGCAATAGCCTCAAGTTGCAGTGGAGGAGGGTGGGGGGGGGGGGGTCTAGGTTGGATATTAGGAAACACTATTTCACTAGGAGGGTGGTGAAGCACTGGAATGAGTTACCTAGCGAGGTGGTGGAATCTCCATCCTTAGAGGTTTTTAAGGCCCGGCTTGACAAAGCCCTGGCTGGGATAATTTAATTGGGGTTGGTTCTGCTTTGGGAAGGGGGTTGGACTAGATGACCTCCTCAGAAGATTAGGGTTGGAAGAGACCTATGATTCTATGAATAAAGCTCAGAGCTATGCATCTCCCTGTCAAATCAAGTTTTGGTGCTTTCATTTCTGGAGCACCTACTAACTGGAGACAATGCAAGGCTTCAGCAGTGTGGGCTAGACACCTAGGTGCTAACCTGGGACCTGATTTGTAACCCTGGGAAACACTTCGCCTCCCTGTGCCTGCTTCCCCATCTGTAAAATGGGGATAATGATACTTATCTCCCTGTCGAAAGATTTTTGAGATTCACTGATGAAAAGTACTATTGTTATTATCATCTATTTAGACTGGAAGGTCTTTGGGAAAATGACGGTCTCTTACTATACGTCTGTACAGCCCCTAACACAATGGGGTCCTGAGCCAAGTGGGATCCTATAAGTGCTCCCCTAACACAAATAAACAAAAAGCTTCTATAGCTGTATATAGCAGCCCTAATACACACAAGAGATACAGGCATCTGCATGTTTAAAACCATCGCAGGAAGCGAGCGAGTCCACACCTAAGGAGCAACAGCAAGAATTATTAAAAAGCCATTACAGAAAAATCCTTTTCAAACGGCCACATCATGATGAAGCTAAACACACAAGATCCCCTCTTCTCCAGGCTGCACCCCGCCTGCAACACAACCCAGAGCCCACACCTTACTCTGGGCTTCGCTTTTTCAAACACAAGATGTGTTTGCAATTCAAACGTTGCCCCGCTAGGCCTGCGAACCAAGCACAGCAGAGCAGGAGACGACTACCAGTATCCAGGGATTTCAATATTACCGAGGGGAGAAGGCAAGTTTAGACACCACTTGAGTGCTGCTCACGCTTCTCATACTCTGGGTATATAGCAGGCTCACACAATAAGAGGGACTCAGCTCATAATCCCAGAGGCCACTCGCATGCATTTCACTTCTGTGAAAGAGGGACAGACTGGAGGTTTATCAGCCTTCCAAATGCTTCATGCAGCCTGCCAGACGCCCGCAGCCACAGCCTCAGCCCTCCAAAGCGGCAGGGCAACAGAGCTGATCTCTGCCCGTCCCCTTTCAGGAGACGGACACACGCAGCCAGGCCAGCGGACTGCCCGGGACATACCCACAGGAAGAACTGCAGAGCCTTGGAGCTGCACAGGCTGCTGCTCAGAGGAACGAAGAGGGTGCTGTATGTCGCGAGGACGCCCATCCAGCTGTGTCCGCAGCCGGGCACCGAATGCCCTGCCCTGGCCCGGCCAGTTACCATGGTGACCGGAGGAAAGGACAACATCCCACTCGCCGGTGGGACAATGGCATCTCTGCTCGGCGGGCGGATGGAAGGCATCTAGTCAGCTGGCAAGGGAGGAGCGTGGGTTACGGATGCTGGCGGAGGCAGCTTCCAGAATGGGAGGAAGAAGCAGGGGTCCCTTCCACTCGAGTGGGGATGGCCTGGACAGGGGGGGCGAGGGGGCACTTCAGCCCGGGATGCTCACGAATGAATGAGCTTAACCTCTCGTAAAAAGCCTCGTCCCAGCTGCAGAGAAGCCACAGGGGGAATAGGCCGATCAATGGGCTCAGTGAAAGGCAAGCCAGCCGGATACACGCTGTCCTGGGGCCACTGCACCACCACTCCCAGCGCACACAGGCGAGGGGTCAGCCACACGCTCCACTCGCCCACTGCTGGGGCACAAGCGGCTGCAGCATGGTGCTTGGGATTCAGAGCGGGCTCTGGTGTCCCAAGGAATCAGCATGCCGAGAAGGGACTGATTTGTTTTTAAGCTGATCAGGAATAACCACCCTCTGGCCAAGGCTCCCAAAGCACTTTACAGCCGAGAGAGAGAGAGAGAGAGAGAGAGAGAGAGGAGAGGCAGGCTGGTCCAGTGGTTAGAGCACTAGTCTGGGCCACGGGAGATCTGCATTCAATTCCTGCTCTACCACAAGCATCCTGCGTCACGCTGGGTAAGCCACTTAGTTTGTCTGGCTCAGTTCCCCACCTGTCGAATGGGCATAATAGCCCTGCCCTGCCTCCCAGGATCAAGAGAGTAAAGCCTGTGAGGAGCTCAGACTACGGCACTGGCGGCCAGAGAAGTACCCCACATAGACAGAACACCCCGAGCGGTCGGTCAATGCCATTACTACCATGCTCCAGATGGGGAAAGCGAGCCCAGACCGGGGAAGGGACTCGCCCGCGATCCGACAGACAGGAATCGAACCCAATCTGCCGAGTCCCAGGCCAACGCCTGAACCACAAGCCCAGCCTACCTTGCTTCTCCAGCTGTGCCTATTAGCAAATGTTAAGGCATAGCATTGAAGTCAGTGATTGCAATCCACAGTGCTGAACGCTGCCTCAGAGAGCTGGGGGTACGGGAGTTCCCCTTAGCGAACTCTTATCCGAGTAAGGGCCCCTCCCCATCTCAAAAACAGCAACCCAGAGTGTCCAGTCTGGCTGAATGGAGGTAGAACACAGCTTTCCTGAGGCACCTATTATTCCCCTGCAAGCGCTTCACAGCACAGGCCCTGCTCCAGCTCCAGCTCCCACAGTGAGCAAAGGGGATGAATTCTCAGCACTGCTGCAGCTTGCTTTAGCAAATGAGCTCCTAATTCATGTGTGTGCAAAGCCCCCACTAACCCCTGGGGAGAACCAGGCCAGGAATCAGAGCGTGTTATGTGGCCGGAAGCTGCTGTGCCGACATAATCAATGCTGCACAAAGGCAGCCCACATGCCCTTCAAATCGGGGGCGGGGAGGGGGAGAGAAAAGACAGATATTGGCATTTGAGAAAGGAAAGAACCGGTGCAGCAGGGCAGCACGCTTAGGATAAAATAATGCAAATTACATTGCACGCAAGGTACAGGAAAGGCAGGAGCTTCCATTAACGTTACTAATTCAAACTGCCCATAGGCAGGATTTTGGATCATGAGCCGCGTGGGTGAGCTGATAATATCACGAGTACTTTGCTATCTCTCTATGCAAGGTACTTCTATTGCACACCATGGCTCTCCAGGGGCCGATTCCCCACCCTGCTCTGGGGCCAGAGAGGGGACAGGCTCCCTGGCCTCAGTGCATATTAGCAACTCTAACTTACCACTGACAAAAGGTCTCTTGGGGCGTCTTATGCCAGCTGAGGATCAGGCATAATGGACCTCTGCTCCAACCCTTCCCCACCACGCCCGCAGTGGCTGAGACAGGAGATGGTAGAGAGTCTTCCGCAGTGGAGAAATTCTCCACCAGCCATCCACAGAGGTTTTAGTGCAAAGGGGACTTAATACATTACATCAGGGGTAGGCAACCTATGGCACGCGTGCTGATTTTCAGTGGCACTCACACTGCCCGGGTCCAGGGGGCTCTGCATTTTAATTTAATTTTAAATGAAGCTTCTTAAACATTTTAAAAACCTTATTTACTTTACATACAACAATAGTTTAGTTATATATTATAGACTTATAGAAAGAGATCTTCTAAAAACGTTAAAATGTATGACTGGCACATGAAACCTTAGAGTGAATAAAGGAAGACTCGGCACAGCACTTCTGAAAGGTTGCTGACCCCTGCATTACATGATCCAGCCCCTAGAGTTTGGCCCTGACCCTCGAGTGACCTGGGCCCTGGCAGATCCCTGCACCAGCGGAGTACAACTGAGCCTGTACTAGACAACACATGTCTTTGCATTTAATTTCTCTGGTATGTTTGCAAAAGAAAAAGACTAAAACATTAATCTCGGCTCTGAAGCCCCCATGCTCTGCCACAGCGTTTAGAAGTCAAAGGAGCATTTACTTCTGCGGAGACGCAGCGGTACAAACCCACCCATTTGATTATCACACTACGGCATTAGGCGTTTACAGGCTACCTAGCGTCCTTGACTGTTCCCTTTGCATAGGTTGCAGGATAGAGAGTGATTTGTAAGAGACTGCGCAGTGATGCAATACATGTTAAAAGAAATATCAGAATCTCTCACTAATACCCCACAAACCCCAAGTTCATGCTGCCCCGTAGGACAAGTGTAACCACAAAACACCAGGGTGGACCAAGAGCGAGACTGGGCAGCTCTCCTTCCAGTACACCCACCAGGCAGCAAACAGCACGTAGGACAGCAGAGCTCCTAGTGGTTGCAGCTACTCCTGGCTGGGAAACCAGGACACAGCTGCTCCCCTACCATGCCATAGTCCACCCCGTTGGTGATGGTGTGTCTCCGGTGCTCACCGCGACCTCTCTCCTGCCGCCGAGCGTCCGCCAACCCCGTGCAACTGCCCTCGCAATGGGACTGTCCTGTGGGCTTCCCATCGGCACCTGCAATGGAGGAAGGATATGCACATTTTGAAGAAGGCACCGTGCAGGGACATACACCCAACACGAGAGGAGCGGAGGATTTCTCCATATATTCTAGAGGCTTTAAAAAAATAAATACAATTTAAAAAGGACCTTTTAAGCCATTCAAGTCCTGGCTGAGCACCAAGAGGAGTCTGCAGGTTGGGATTTCAGCCTTGCTCCGGCAGCCACTCACCTGGCCATGCCTGGGTATTGCAGAGACCTCAGATGAGCACATGACCTTTTCCCCCCGCATGTACTGCAACGCGGTACACAGCTTACATCCCAGTTACTCCCACGGGGCAGGACCTCACGGGTTCAAGTCAGGGAAAGTGGAGGGCCAGGCCCACCAGCGAGCGGCCAATGCTCACATTTGTAATAAGAGCCAATGCTGGAGGAGAACGTAACACTCTCACCTCTACTTTCTCTAACCAGGGGAGGTGGGGCTGAGTGGAGAATTAATCACAGCTCCCATTAACTGCAGCAATAACAGGTTTAGCAACTTAAGAAGTCAGCCCCACATTGCAGAGGGTGGGGAATAGGGTGACCAGATGTCCCCATTTTATACAAACAGTCCCAATATTTGGGACTTTGTCTTATAAAAGCACCCATTACCCCCCCCCCCCCCCAGTCCCGATTTTTCACACTTGCTATCTGGTCACCCTAGTGGGGAATGAAAGAAGAGTACATCAGCCAGCTCACTGCAGGGGAAAGGAGCCCTCACCTCACCCTCTGTGCCTGGCCCTTCCACCAGCACTCATGCAAATCCAACCTCGGGCCCTTCCAGGCACCAAGAACAAACATATTTGACCCTGGTACGGAACCACCTTAGGGGAGATCAAATACCAGACACCACCTTCTCCCAGAACCCAAACCCTCAGCTACCCACACGGCAAAGGACAATCCTTGTCGCATCAGCAGAGCGGGCAGCCCACGTTGCCAGTCGGGTGGGCAAACAAGACCCATCAAGGTTCTCCTGGAAGATTCCGTTAAGAAGCAGAGCTTGCAGCTAACTGAGACACTATCAGAGTTCATGTCCCTGAGTGCCCGAACATAGACCCCTGGCCTGCTTAGGAGCCTTGTCACATTTAGTCTGCCAGTGACTCTGAAGCAGGTCGACCCTTCCCCATTTTGCCACGTGGCCTCCTGCACTCATACCCAGTACCAGACAGCCAAGAGTCACCCCATTAAATCATACTGGTGCCTTTGGTAAAGGGTGCCCATTGTTTGTTACGCAAAGGTGCTGCTTGGGGGTGCAGGGAGGAGGGGAATCCACTCTGGATTCCACAAGCGACCTGCTGGGCACACTGGATCAGAGCTTGAGACTTTCCTTTGGTGGAGCCACGCCAGGCATGGAGAGACAGGAGGGTTCAGTTTCTTTCTGGTCAACACTTGGGTCAGGTGCATTCAGTACAAAAAGCTACATTTACATGTGCTCCTGCCTCACAGCAGGATTCCTGCAACCCCTCTCGGTGGGTCACCGTGGCCAAAGTGATCCCAAGACCTGGGCTGCCTTGCCCACTGGCCTCAATGGCTGGAAACAACCTATCCACCAGCACACGCTAGGGAGAGTGGGCAGGGCGGGACCTTCAGAAAAAGTTGTGTAGGGCAGATTAGAGCAAGGACATGCCGCTGGCTCCGCCTGAGCCAAGAGGTGGGTCAATCGAGGGGTGTGTGGGTGAGCTGTACACATGGGATTCAACGGGCTTATAAAGCAGGGCCCCCACTTGATTTCACGAGGGCCATGACAGGCTTTGGTGCTTGTCTCCTATAAAGGGCAGGCTGCTTCCAGCCAAACCCTGCATTAGTCACCACCTGGCCAATTAGACCCTTCATGACTCCCGCGGCCTAGTTCTCTCCTGGCTTGTGCTGCCAACGCTTCTAATCTCCATGCAAAGTCGCTGGCTCCAGCACAAGCTGCTGTGCTCGGGGCTGCTATGCATTTGTTCAACACCAGACGTTTGCCTCTTCCCTGCCCTGGCTCCTGAGGTCTGTGATCCCCTCCCCAGCCAGCCCAGGGAGCACTCCAGGCCCCCCCCCCCCCGAGCTCTCACATGATTTTCCAGAGCATCAGCAGCCTGCCTGCCACTGGGTCAGCACAGAGACCAGATCCTGACTGTATGGAGACAGAGCTTTCAATGGGCTTCCCGCCCAGTGGAGCCACTTTGCACAGCGCTGGAGTCTGCTGTTAAGTTCATCCCTATGATTTTATAGCAAACATACACCCCCCACACACCCCTGACCCCGACGGGTGATCAGTGCCAAAGGAGCGAGATTAGGCCTGAGAGCACAAAGGAGTTTGCTTGTGCCCAGTGTCCTGCAGCGAGGTGCTGAAGCCAGTGCCCATCTTTCCAGGGCCTCTCCTCTGTCAGCAAGAGCTGCCCACCTGCTTCCTCACTCCTGTTGCCCCCCATCACCCCAATTTCTCCTGCTACCCGCAGCAGACCCTCATCCCCCTCACCTTTGCACCTCCCGCCCACTTCATCGCTGCAGCTTGCCCTGCCTCTTGTTACACAGACCTGGAATCCAAGATTGCTCTTTCCTGGCCTGGCCTTCTGAGAGAAACCAGCAGCGGGACAGGAACAAACAGCAGGGGGAAGCTACTCACATTAGGAACCCCCACTGAGGAAGCAGGTTGGGGGTAAGATCAGAAGAAATTCCACCCTAGCAGGGCCAGTGCAAGAAAGTTTCACGCCCTAGGCGAAACTTCCACCTTGCGCCCCCCCCCCCCCCCCCCCCCCCCCCCGCCACGGCAGCTAACCCCACCCGGGGAGACTCACCCCCCCCCACCCCCCGCGGCAGCTAACCCCGCTTACTAACTAACTAACCCGTTACTGCGGGCGGCCCTCCCCGCACCACCACCCCCGGCCCAGCTCACCTTCACTCCATCTCCTTGCCTGAGCGGGCTTTTAGGCGCCCCCAACCACTAGGCGCGCTAGGCGGCCGCCTAGTTTGCCTAAATGGTTGCACCGGCCCTGCACCCTAGAATCCGGACCATGTTCTGTCTCTCAGTGGCCAGAGCCCACCCTCATATCCTCCTCCCCCGAACCCCCAGCACAAGGTAGCCAGTTCCTAGGTGCCACCCACCTGAGGATTAGCTCCTCCTCCCCTATGCAGATGTCAGAGCTCAATGTCCAGGTTCTGTAACCAGGAGATGGCCTCTGTACTAAGCGAGGCGTTGTAACCCACCCTCCAGATGTTGAATTGGACTCTCCTCCACCACGAGTTGTCTGAAACGCTGCCCCACAGTCACCACATGGAGAGGAAGCCAGGCCAACCCAGCGCATGGTTGTGGTAGACAGTCACCTGTTGAGCCTGGTCCAGGATTTGTGATCAGCTGAACAATGAAGCAGGTGCAGTGATGGACTCCTGAGTTTACCTAGTGCGGGAGACTCTTTCCCACCGACGCTTCCACTCGATGAGAACACAGATTGCAGCTCTCTGGCGGGGGCGGATTAGCGACTCCCCTACGAAGCACGTGCTGTTTAGTGCTCAGAGCAGCAAAGGGCTGACAGCACCAGACCGAAAGGGGGAGAAAGCAGGCATGATCTGTGCAGAGTGCCTGCAGCTGCTTTGATACAGAATGCCAGCTGCTGCTCGTTAATCACCCGAACAGAGTGTGCTGGGCACACGGAATGGGGCTGTGGGACTTTTCGCACTGTGAACATGTCAGGTAGGGACTGAGCCAAGACCACCAAACTCATGACTCTTGTGAGGCTGAATGGCTAGTGAATCATCAACCACTGCGCCCATCAGTCAACAAGGCACAGGTGGGAGGGGTCTTTGAAAAACCATAAGCCGTTCTGCCAACAGCCTTTGGCTCCCTATGATACTGAAGGGGGAATTGATGGGGAATGTGCCAAACAATCTGAGACGAACACATCCATCTCTAACGCTGTACGATGCGCCTGCCACGCACACCCTTGCCAAGCAGAGGGATAGTCCCCAGCCGAAGGCAATCATGCTTTTCTTCATTAAACTAAGCCCTGAAGCAGATATGGGAGCCCTCTTGGATGAAGAGCATCACAGAGGCAATGACCAACTACAGAGGCGTATGCTGCTTTTACAGGCTTGTGTCTACTGCAGATTTGGACACTGTGCTGAGCGCGAAGACTCTGGATTTTAATCCCATCTGACCCTCTGACTCAGTGGGTAGCCCCAGGCAAGTCGACTGACCTCTGGGCACCTGAGCTAGGCCCAATGAAAGACAGAAGATCAAGCAAGAATCATGCTAACAACCAGACGCCGCATGTGAGCCAGCGTTCCCTGGGGGAGAGGAATCAACTCATCAGCAGTTACAAGTGGAAGGGACCTGTTAGGCCATCCAGGCCCCTGCTCTGCCAGTGCAGCACATTTACAGGTGCCTTGGCCAGTCTAGGTTCAAACAGGAACATGAGAACAGCAGCCCGGTATCTTGTCGCCAGATGCCTCATGGTAGTTTTACACTTTCCCCTACCAGGCAATTAGGCCATAAACTGCCCAAGGGGGAAGTTTCTTCTTTACCCTTTGATGGTTAGTGTTTGGCTTGTGCAATAAAAGTTATAACAAGACACCCACCCATATAACTGCCCTGTTTCCATTTTCCTGCCCGTGCTCCCCTTCCCCCTCCTGAGCACTCAAGAGGGGCCACAACTGACAGGAGCTTCGGCACGGCGAGGGCAAATCCCAGGTGAATCATGAGCTGGGGAGGGATGAAGGATGAGCCAGTAGTTCAGGCACTAGCCTGAGATTCTGCAGCTCTGGGTTCAATCCCCTGCCCTGTCACAAACGCATAAGAACATAACATAAGAACAGCCCTACTGGGTCAGACCAAAGGTCCATCTAGCCCAGTGTCCTGTCTTCCGACAGTGGTCAATGCCGGATGCCCTGGAGGGAATGAACAGAACAGGAAATCATCAAATGATCCATCCCCTGTCGCCCATTCCCAGCTTCTGGCAAACGGAGGCTAGGGACACCATCCCTGCCCATCCTGGATAATAGCC